TCATCATTGCAGTTAGACCAAAAAATTCACTTGGTTCATCCTAAAAAAGTTCAAATCCATCTTTCCTTCACCCTTCAATATAACAAAAATGCCAAGATGTACAACAATCTTCTTAACCCACCATTCATCAGTGCAACTAGTGCACTCAACCTAAAATCTGACATCGTTCGAATTCCACTTTCATCTAGTAGTAGATTTTTTGGTTTCAAATTACGATGGTAAACACAGATCTGAGGTACCAATGATCGAGAAATCGACGATGCCCGTCAAAACTCTACGATGTTTGAGCGTGCCTCGCCCTGTCCTGAGCTTTCAGCACCTTCAACCCCACATTCTAGTCCGTCAAAAAAGCCAACTCCAAAGTCAGCACTCTTTTGACACTGCCACCACTCTCTGTCAACACAAATTATTGGCGTATCATCTCGCACTGCTCAATTGCCGAATTCATAGTCAACGGCCTCACAGCCCTACCGAGGTAGGTACTCACCAAAGTCATAGAGGATGACTGTTGAGATAAAGAATGAGCAGGTGAGAAGAGAAGAGACGAGAGAGAGAGAGAGAGAGAGTGTGTGAGTAATGAGAAATTTTTTTAGGGGCTTTGAAAGGAAGATGCGTGGGTAGATGTGTGGGGTGGGGTTTGGGTAAGATGAATACGTAGATTAGATTTAAATAAATTATTATTAATTAAAACCAATAAAATTTAATTGCTACTCTATTTGTGAATAAAATTTAATCCCCCTATTTTTTGAAAATTAATCTTTGAAGGTAGGTTTCTAGGTAATGTTTCCTTTCAGTAGTGCTACTAAAAGTCTGAGGGATACTCGGCTGGTTAGATCGGCTCGTGCAAGAATGTTCAGAGCCGACCTACTGGACAATGAATGTTTAAAATGGGCTGAAGTTTGTGTTTGTTTACTTGGATAATGCATGCCATTGGGTTGATCCAGTATTACTTGATTCTATGAGCCTTAAGTGGATAGGCTAGAATAACATAAAGGAAAAGGGAAAATTTTCATATACAAGAGATTAAGTATAGGGCATTTCAATAATAAGAAAACAAGTATCATATTTCACTAATAAGATATTGGCCTAGAAATGAATACAAATAATAATTTATTTAAAAATGTAAAACAATCCTGCACAATTAGCATGAGTTACCGTAACCAGTGGGATTCTCCAAAAAAGAAGAAGAAATCATCTCTCCAATTGATTCCAGAAGCCACAAAATCTGAAAATACGTCCAATTTACTGCCGACTCTCGCAAAAGTGATGGTAAAAGCAAATTCTGGTCACAAATTGCAGTCGCTAGGTCACATTACGTCGGATTAAAACACGAGTCCCTCGAATAGTCCCTGATACGTTACTTCAACCTGTAATTTCAGAAAGTTTACATTCATTAGGTGTGTAATTACGATTTATTGATTGTAATTTGTCGTTTATTCATACTCCCAAGCATAGATCGATGAAAATGTGGTTTGTGTGGGAATTGTGATTGTGAATATCATACAGTGATGTTCGAAAGTGTTGTGACCGTTATGAAAAACATATGACTGTCTATTCATAGGATGTGATCTCATGCAGTTAGTGCGCATAGGTGTTTTGTCTCGAAATGTGTGACGTGTGACATACTGCATCTGTGACATGTAATATTAATGCTATTATTTAAATCCAATCATATACGATCCACACTTAGTTACCATGACTGAATAGTGCATGTTATTGTCATTTAATACACACATGTGACCTGCATGTATTCAATATGTAACCATGGTATTCAAGATACAACATGTGTTTGTTGTGACATGTGATCATTTAATAGAATTTTGGCCCACATTCAATTAGCTGTGACAAATATACAAATACTTGTGGCCACTCTTCAACGGCATGTGATCAATATGCAATGACCTGTGACCACTCGCAAAAAAAATTTGGAAAATAAGAACATATGACCTGCATGTATTCAATATGTTACAATGATCTCAAGATTTGATATGTGTTTGTTGTGACCTGTGATCATTTAACAGAATCGTGACCCATATGCAATTAGCTGTGACTGTAATTGGATGTTTGACTGATTATGTTTTTGTTCATTGTGCAAAAATGAGGTTAATTCACGTATATTTGTTGAATGGATCACAAATGTCGCTGGTGTTGATTAATCGTAGTTATGGGTATTTGAAGCTTGTCGACACAATTATGAAAGAGTTTAGCTTTGACCCTGCAAAAGTTGCTGTGACAATGAAGTATATCTTGAATAGTGATCTGCCTCCAATAACAATCAAGAGTGACGATAATGTGTTGTCGTTCATGGTTTTGAAGGATATGAATCGTGACCCTGCCAAATATCCAATTCACATCGTGGTTACAACTGTAGATAGTGAAAAACAGCTTATTGCGATATCAATTGATGTTCAATCAAATGAACATGGATTTTCATTAACAGATATGTCATCAAATGTATGTAGAACAATAGTGGATCCATCTAGTGACAAGTTTGAACATGAGGTCACAGTTGTGGCGGTGACAAATGTTATGGAGGTGGAGGAAGGAAGAGTTTTTCGTAGCAAGGAGATTATGAAATTGAGCTTGTCGTTTTATACAATCCAAAATATGTTTGAGTACGTGGTTGTTCGATCCGATAAGAAAGACTATCTCATGAATGTTCACGTAATGAGTGTAATTGGACATGTAGAGCATCGAAGTTAACCAGAACAGATATGTTTAGAATCAGATATACTGCAGAAGGTCACACATGTGCTTCAAACATCGTACTCAATACTTATAGGCAAGTAACAAAGACAGTTGTGTCAACCTGCGTTAAGTACAAGTACACATCGTTGCGCACTATATACACACCGAATGATATATACAACGACATGCTGCATACATATGAAGTATCTTTGAACTATGTCAAGGCTTGGCGATCTCGAGAGGAAACTTTGAAAGTGCTAAGGGTTGAACTGAGTCATTCAATAAGATACTAGCCTTTTTTTCGTGCTACAGCAAATAAATCCTGGATCGGTCACAAGCCTAGAAATTGATGGTCACAATAGATTTAAATATTACTTCATGGCACTAGGAGCATCTATACAGGGATTGAAACATTGTAGGCCAGTTGTTGTGGTTGATGACACATATCTAAATGGACACTATGGTGGTACCTTATTCACGACATTTACACAAGATGCAAATAACAGCATATATGTACTTGCTTTTGGGATTGGGGATAACGAGAATGATAGCTCTTGGACATGGGTTTTTAGACAGCTGAAGAAAGTATATAGGGACAAAGACGGTTTATGCTTTGTGTCGGATCGTCACAACAACATCAAAAAGGCGATTGAAAACCTGTATCCGGGAACTTGTCATGGGATATGTTCGTACCATCTACTACAAAATCCAAAATCACGTTACGGGAGATCGGGAAAAAACATAACACAAGCATTCAACACAACGGTTCGCGCTTACACACTATTGGAATATAAATATTACATGCAACAACTCGGCTTGATTAATGAGAAGATAAGGGGTTACCTGGTACTATACTATACATTATCCTATGATGTTATTCGCTTCCTATGACATATATTTCCATAGTTTTGTTTATAGGACGAGATCAAACCTGAGAGATGGTCATGTTTCCATTTACCTTCAAACCGGTATTCCACAATAACATCGAATATCGTGGAGTCGGTTAATACGGTCACAAAGTCTGCCAAGAACTACCCTATTTTAGATTTGTTGGATTCATTAAGATAAATTCTACAATCTTGATTCTGTAGACACAGGGAGGATGCTCAATGCACTTTTAAAACTTTGTCAAGCAAGTATAAGAAGTAGATGAGGGAAATGAGCACAGATATGAGAAACTCGAGGGTAAAGTTAAATACTGTGACTAATCTATAATCTGTGATTTAGGTCCCATTTGGTAGCCATTTTTTTTCAAAATGTATTTCTCTCTCTCTTCTTTTCAACCACACATTCTTTATTAAAATAATATTACATGTAAATAAAAAACTTTTCCTTATTTTTCAACCACACATTTCACATCAATCTGCTATTCTAAAATACATTTTTACATAAAAATGACTCTCAAACACCCCTTAGCTGAATTGATCTGTGACATGTGCTGTGACTTCTGCTGTGACCTGTACCATTGTGTTTCAGTAATATTTGTGCAACATTATATATAAGTATGTGACATGCACTTTCATCCTTGTCCTACTTTTTCATTATGTGACTTATTGTGTATATCACTTGAATCCATAATTGCAAGTTTTCCCTATTAATCAGGCAATGTTTTTAGTTAAAGGTGAAAGTTCCTCTTTCGTTATTGATATAGAAAACTGGACATGCACATGTAGTATGCTTCAAGTTGATCAACTACCATATCCACATGCTTTGGTTGTATTTGCGAGTATGAAGATGGATCCATATGAATACTGCTCCTACTATTACATAAGTGAAGCATACAAAAATACATACCAAGAAACCATTTTTTCCATCGAAAATCTAGCTGAATGGATAGTGCCAAATGATGTCCATGACATAGTTGTAATTGCACATAATCAAAAGTATAGTTGTGGATGGCTTACTGGGAAAAGATTCAGACCAGCCTATGAGGAAAACATAACTGTTAAATGCGGTAGGTGTGGTGAAGGTGGTCACAATCGTAGAACATGCAACAGCCTAGTTCCGTTAAGTCAAAGCCACAAGAATAAAGAGGGAAAGATGACGAAGACTGACAATACACATTAATAGATTTTTGATAATTCCCTCATTTTTTTATTCATTGATGTTTTGTAATGTAGGATACACATTATTAGATGACACATATTGACCATATCATTACCAATACAATGCTCAAATTTTTTGTTAATAAATCAATGAGATCATGACTCATAAAAGTGTGAAGTGACCCTATAACAGGATCTGTGACATTTGTTGTGATTAATTGCAGTGCACTTTGGATGTACGGTAGGAATGTATGACCACTAGCATGCATGAGACACTCAACTGTTATTGATATAGAAAATTGGACATGCACATGTAGTATGCTTCAAGTTGATCAACTACCATATCCACATGCTTTGGTTGTATTTGCGAGTATGAAGATGGATCCATATGAATACTGCTCCTACTATTACATAAGTGAAGCATACAAAAATACATACCAAGAAACCATTTTTTCCATCGAAAATCTAGCTGAATGGATAGTGCCAAATGATGTCCATGACATAGTTGTAATTGCACATAATCAAAAGTATAGTTGTGGATGGCTTATTGGGAAAAGATTCAGACCAGCCTATGAGGAAAACATAACTGTTAAATGCGGTAGGTGTGGTGAAGGTGGTCACAATCGTAGAACATGCAACAGCCTAGTTCCGTTAAGTCAAAGCCACAAGAATAAAGAGGGAAAGATGACGAAGACTGACAATACACATTAATAGATTTTTGATAATTCCCTCATTTTTTTATTCATTGATGTTTTGTAATGTAGGATACACATTATTAGATGACACATATTGACCATATCATTACCAATACAATGCTCAAATTTTTTGTTAATAAATCAATGAGATCATGACTCATAAAAGTGTGAAGTGACCCTATAACAGGATCTGTGACATTTGTTGTGATTAATTGCAGTGCACTTTGGATGTACGGTAGGAATGTATGACCACTAGCATGCATGAGACACTCAACAAATATGTCACACATGAAAATCTGTAGGAAAAATTGTTATACGATCATCATGCAGTGAACTGCAATTAATATGTAATGCCTGTGACCAATATAAAATTATCTATGACCACTCGTCAATGAACTATGACCAGTATGCAGTGACCTGTGATCACTCTTCAAGACATGTGACCATTTTGCAGTGACCTGTGATCACTCTTCAAGACATGCGACTAGAATGCACTAAACATTGACTAATTGCAAAGACTCCAAAAAATGGAAGTGGTTCAGTTGTAATTAGCTGTGATAAAATATGAAATGACTTGTGATCACTCTTCAATGACCTGTGACTAATTTGCAGTGACTTGTGATCACTTTTCATTACCTGTGAACAAAATACAGTGACATGTGACCAATATACCATGATATGTGACCAAGATACAGTGACTTGTAACAAATATGTACTTGTGACCAATCTACAATAACCAGTGACCGACTGTAAATAATCCTGAAAATTAGAGTGGTTCAATTGTATTGTCAGTCAATCGATAAAACTGTCTACCACCTGTGCTGATAACATGACACAATGACATAATTTTGTGTGTTAAGTGTTGAGACTTAGTACATCATCAATCTTGCGAAATATGATATACAGTGAAACTTTTAAGAAACAATATAATAGTCTTCAAAATGAACTTTTGATATAAATAGACAAAAGTAAGTAGTACGTTGTCATTACAAATGAATTTCCAAATACGAGACAATGTATCCATCTATTACAACTTGTGACTGCACATTGTACTGTTACTCTAAAAAAATGCTTTCCCCTCCAGTTAACCGCACCGTTTTTCTAGCCTTCCCGATTTCTTGATATTGAAACAACAATGAAGCTACATTCAACCGTGCTCTACCCGCATTGAACTTCATGGGCATGGATCCTATATTACAATACAGCATGTACTCCGCATATTTGACCATGTATATGCCACAATCATGTCTAGGAACACAAATATCAACCTATTATGTATGAAATCCAGCATGTTATAATGCGTTTAACTGTAAGTGGAGGTAAAAAACCTACCCATTTTTTTGTTGGGGAAGAGAGAAATCAAGATCCATGTTCAACTCTATGGAATCTTTTTTCCATATTCCAACACATTTCATGAGGCACGAAAGCATGCTGACAAAAGGTTCAATTCCAATACGGACCTTGATATCATTGTATGTCGACGATTTCAATACACGTTGTGTATGCGCCTTTATGTCCAGTACTCGAAGCTTCCAATGTGCTTTATTGGCAGGCAGAAGTGGGATAAACACAAGGTCGACTTCAACCCATGAAGTGCTCAACAAAATCCATGAACTGATAATGACATTTGCATCATCCTTGAACTTGGGATACATGTGCTTGAACTTGGCATGGAACAACGAGTTAGTTGTGGTAGCTACAAACTTGAGATTTTTCCAACTTCTTGCCACTTGATGTATGTAGTAAAAGCACACGTCCATATGCTACAAAGATGCAAGTACGATAAACAACTAAGAAACCATTTAAACACCAAGAACATGATCTATTGAATTGTTACTAGGATGTATGACCCAATTAGTATGTGTGACCAATATAACCAGTAGTTAGTGACCATTCAATAATTGATCTGCGACGTTATAAATACGAGCTATACTGTTACACCTACAGATATGTGTTTTTTGTACAACACATATTGTGACCTACTATACGTGTGATCTGTGACCCATGCGTCATCTGTGACCTACTGCATGAGTGGGCTATTAGACAATACATGTGTAACATATGACCTTTATTGAATAACATGTGGACTCTGTGTGACTAATATACAGTTATCTGTGACTAATGTGATCTGTACTGT